CAGCACATTAAACGCTGTAGTGGCCAAAGTAGTGATGCCATCGGCTGCATCACTTGTTTACATGCCGAACTTGACGTCACAAAGACAGTGTCGCCAATAATTCTGGCAAGTGAGGTGAGCTTTTCGAGCCAATCTTTAATATTCATTTGCAGACAATCAGTGCATCTCTCAAGCCTGTAATTTATCATAAATGACGGAAATCTGCAAAGGAATGTACCCAGCGATCTTCATTGAGATCTATTTATCGATTCATTTATCGAACGAAAATAGCAACGACAACTGATATATCAAACTCCATGTGCCTCAAAAGTGCCTCGGCAAGTTGGCTTTCCCTCGCGGTGGCGGCAAAAACTGCCGGCACTACCCTAGAAAAAGTTGGTTAGACCCGGTTGTGCATGGGCGAACACCCCCTTGCAAGAAATGATCCTGGCCCGCTCGCAGCGCTGACAGGCGATCAGAGGCTGTCAGGCTTTCTCTGAGGCGCAGAGGCAGTAGAAGTGAGTGCGATTTTTTTGTTGTTGTTGTTTATACTTGTGTACCTGCAGCTGCCTGTTTTCCTTGAGTCCTTATTCAGCGTGGTCTGTGCTGGTGGTGTTGCCTATTGGTGCTCTGTGAGCGGTATTGGCGCACTGTCATCATGGCTTGCACAAAGAGGCAGAATTTGCCGTTCGCCGCTAAACTCGAAAGCGTAAATACTGTATTTACTCGTGTAATCCTCGCACTCACATAATTCTCGCACCCCCCACATCGCCCAAGAAAAATACGATTTTTTTTTCCTCGAGTAATTATTGCACCCCAAAAACTGCCACAATAATGTGGTCTGCTCCTTCCAGCTACTGATGATGATAGCAGGCGCCATCTCTTAAGCATCAAGCGTACTATTGTGCGGATATTCAATCCAATTCAAGCCAAGCCAAGCTGAAGTGGCCAGTGCGCATTGCGGCGTGTTTTGTATGTTGTGTTGGTAATCTTGGCACGTTATGGGGCGATAATGAAGCCACACGGCTGCTTCAAGTTGCAAGTGATAGATCATGCACAAAACAACGGCAACAGGGCCGCCGGTAGGCCCTTTGGAGCCTACGAGTTTTGTGTTCGCTACTGGTGACGGCAGCTGAAAGCCACCAAGACGCGTTGGGCCTGCCGTGTGCCTAAAACTGGGATTGATGGTAAACTTTATTTCTTCAGAAGGAAACTGCGGACGATTCTGTTAAATAGGCATCAGCCCAATACTGACGTCCTACGCTTACCTTTTGAGGGCTCCTGTTAAGCGCCGACCGCTACCGCTACGCCCGCAACGCCCACAAGTTTCGGATATGGTATTCTAATTCTCGACTATTTGCTTCCACTTTTTGTGTCTAAAATAAATCTTGCTTTGCGTTGAACCTCTGCTTTTATTGTTGAGGTAAGTTCTACTTAGTACTTCTTAAAGCTTGCTGTTAGTTGCTGGCGTGAGAATCCCAATTCGCGGTCACTTCGTTTCATTTTTCGCCCTGTACGTTTTTGTGGAAAGTTTTTTCTGCATAATTCTCGCACCCCCCAACTTTGCATCATTTTTCCGCTGCGAGGATTATGCGAGTAAATAGTGTATGGTCGAGCGCAGTGAAAAGAAGTCCGACGTCGCCGCCGCCTACGAAATTCCAGGGAGCACCTTGAGTACTATCCTGAAGAACAAAGCAGACATCAGGGCCAAGTCGGACAAAAGGCCAGGTGCCCGTGGCACCCGACGTGTGCGCACTGCAGTGTACGAAGATGTTGAAGCGACAGTTTACAAGTGGTTTGTGAACGTTTGGTCGCGAAACGTCCCTTTGTCCGGCCCTATGATCGAGCAGAAAGCCAAGGACATTGCTTTCCTTCTTGGCAGGAATAATTTCCAAGGCGGTTCAGGCTGGCTTCAGCGGTTCAAAGAACAGCACGACATCGTTGGCAAAGCTGTTACAGGTGAAAACAGAGCGGTGGACCTGGACAGCGTAGACAAATGTCTCGAGGAAAACTGGCGAGATATCGCAGCAAGATATCCAGCCCAAGATATCTTTAATGTGGATGAAACCGCTCTATTTCGGCAGATGTTGCCAAACAAGACACTTGCATGTCGTGGCGACAAAAATTGTGGCGGCATGGTAAACAAAGATTGTGTGTCCGTGCTGTTGGCAGCTAATTTAGATGGATCGAAAAAGCTTCGACCTCTGGTTATCTGGAAAAGCACGGCACCGCGGTGTTTTCGAAATGCGCTTCGAACTCAAAAGCGTGGATGACCGGGGATCTTTTTGGCAGGTGGCTATCATTGTGAAATGATGATTTGGTAGGCGAAAATCAAGGTGTGCCTGCTCGTGGACAATAGTTTATTGCACCAGTGTAGTACGACCTTCAGCAACATCGAACTGCGTTTTTTGCCCACGGACACTACGGCTGTACTGCAACCACTGGATCAAGGCATTATACGCGCAATGAAAGCCGGCTATCGGAAGCGCCTGGTGGAGAGGCTGCTGCAGAACCTTCATGTCAGCAGGGAGCTGAAGATCGACCTGCTTGGAGCTATTCCTATATTGAGTAGATCATGGGCAGATGTCACGAAGGAGACCATCCAGAACTGCTTTAGGCATGCCAGCTTCCCCATGCCTGGTGATGACACCGAAAATTCTGACAGCACTGAAAACACCGCAGGTGTTTCTGCCGAAGTTTGGAACGAGCTGGCAGAGTTCTTGGGTGCTATCGACAAATCGACATTCGTGTTCGTCGGTACGGACTGTGAACCATGATGTTGCCATCATGGGTCAGCTGCAATATGAGGACTACATTGCAGACGTCGTGCCGACCACGAGCCAAGGCGACAGCTATAAGGAAATCGACAATGGCCCATTGCCTACATCCTTTGAAGTGATTAGTGCACTTGCGTTTGTCCAGTGCTATTGCTTGAATGTGGAAGGTTGCGGCCTCAGCTGCTGCGACTCGTCGACAACGTGGAGGTGTGCGTGCTGTCACATGCTGCGAAGTCGTTGACACATAAAAAAAAATCCGGGACTATTTTGTTCCACAGCAGGGCACACAAGTAAGCCACCATATTAATAAAGTACTTTTATTTATTGCTATGTGCCTTTGTGTCAAATTCTATATTGAATTATGCCATATATAAAACGAATAAACGTTTTTTGGCGGGTTCGATATACGCGGGTTCGACTGTATCACTATTTGCTGAGCATCACTCTTTCTCAGAGCTGTCTCTGTATTCAGAAGATTTGTGTGGCAGAGTAAACTCGCCCTAGAAAAAACGTGTCAGTAAGCTGCACCTGTAGAAGACAATGTATTTTTTGGTACCTTCTACTTAGATATAGAAAGGCCAAGAAATGTGAAAGCTTGGCCGAGATGCAAATTTTTTCGTTTGTCCAGCTGAGCAATCTGGACATAGGCAAGATTCTTGTGTGTCATTGTGTGTGAAAATCAATGTTACAGGAGAATGCACCTCCATAGCCCCGCCGCGGTGGTCTAGTGGCTAAGGTACTCGGCTGCTGACCCGCAGGGCGGGGGTTCGAATCCCGGCTGCGGCGGCTGCATTTCCGATGGAGGCGGAAACGGTGTAGGCCCGTGTGCTCAGATTTGGGTGCACGTTAAAGAACCCCAGGTGGTCTAAATTTCCGGAGCCCTCCACTACGGCGTCTCTCATAATCATATAGGGGTTTTGGGACGTTAAACCCCACATATCAATCAGAATGCACCTCCATATGTTGCGCCACTATAGCAGTGTCTCAAGAGTGTTTGATAATTCGTTTGCATCTGTATAAGTATTGCCAGTCCAGCTTTTGAAAAATGGATTTGGGCTTCCTTTTTCGCTGATTCACTTGTTGCATTTTGGGGGGGGGGGTGCTAGTTTGCATTTTTCCTGCAAATGTAGTTATTTTATTCATCATCACGTTCACCAATGGAGGTTTTCCGTTCAGTCATAGCATGTTTATCGATGGCTTTGAGTAGTCGAGTGTTCAGTCACACTACACACATTGGTGGAATCAACCAGCAATTTATCATGTACTGGCAAATATGCCTTCAATCGAATGACTAGCCTGTATACAATTTTGAAAAGTAACTTGTGTGCTTTCATTCTAAGTTGTGCATATTTTTGCTTTAGATAAATAATTTTAAAGCTCCCCTTTGTGGCATTTTTTAATCATAATTAAGAATATTTCCAATAATGGGCAACAATCATCTCTAATGCAGCACTTGTTTCTACAGGGTTGGCTTGGACCTGTACGAGGGAACAGTGCGTGACAACCAGAAGGCTGGCGTGCTTGAGCCAACCGTGTCCAAAATCAAGTCTCTCAAGTTTGCTACTGAAGCAGCCATCACCATCTTGCGAATTGATGATCTCATCAAGCTCGAGCCCAGCCCATCAAGTCATGACGATAGGGATGAGTGCATGTGAGCTATTTCCCTTGACATAAGGCAGCACTCATCGGGCCATTGGTTGCTCTACCAGCAGAGATGTATTAATAAAAAGTTTCTTTTCCTCACACGTGTCAAGTGGGCTTTGTCTGCACAACTTGCAAGCACACATAGCGGCAAACAATCTTTGAGAAAATCAAGGGCTAGATTCTCTTTAGTGTGTGAAAATACAAAACATGAGCACCTCTCCTGGCGTTTCTCATTTTTCCCCCGCGACATCAGCTGCACTGCACGGCTGCCTTGTTCTCCATCGTGCTGCCCGTTCTTCCTTGTCTTGCATTGAGCAGGATTTCTTTTTGTGTGTTTCAGACTATGGAGATGACAGTGTGTAGCCTACAAGCACGAAACCTTGATAGGACTTGGTGCTGAAATTGTACACGTGTGTTTTGAGGGTTGGACTTTTTTGCCAGAATGCAGTTCAAGAATGTGTACTTTCTTATTGCTGAAGTAAATTCTTCAAATGATCTCATTTAAAAAAAAAACTTGGGAAATTTTTTTGCGTGACCGGGAAGCGGCAAAACATTGCACACATCTCCCCATGAAGGGAACCCCAAGTAGTAAGCGATAAGTTCTGTAAAGAGGTACTCTTTATTCTTCGCCCTGAACAAGACTCCTTGTCGCTTCCGGGTTTGCTTGCCGACGCTGCCATGCCGCGGCTGCGCAAGCTAGCCCTCACCGCCCCTGGGTCTCGCTTCAGAGATCCGTGTCTTCAGAGATCCGCTTCAGAAATCCGTGTCTCGCTTCAGCTTCGCGACCTCTCGAATCCGGGTCTTACTGGTGCGGCTGCCGCTTTGTGAGCCCTCGCCTCCGCCGGGCTCATGCCTTCGTTCGTACTACTATGCTGTGTGAGAGAGAGGGGTAAGCGCTTTATTATAGAGGAACTGTATATGCTTTGCATATACAGCAACTCTGTGGTCCCTCTATTTTTCAAAGGTAGCGAAAGCCATTGTACAAAAAGGAAAGGAAAAATTTTCTTCCCTCCCGCTACGTTTCTGCGCTTTTATGCTGCCCCATTGGACTAGGCCCGGCATGTGACCAGATATCCCCAATGAGCAAAATCCTTAGTCATTGCAATTTAGTCATCGTTGTGCAAAAAATTACTGCAACGTTTCAGAAAAATATTTTTATAAGTGCTCAGTCTTCTCGGTCAGTCCTGGCACGGCCTATAGGTTTTGGAAATTCATTTACCGCAAGTCGTTAGAAACTTACTCTCAGAAAGTCGAGCTGTATTTTAGGGTTAATTTACCAAATTAGAGGATATGATAAAAATAGAGACATGGCAAGCAAGTAGTGCCAATCGCTGAGTGAATTAACTTGGCAATATTCTGCGAAAGGGCCCATATGCAAACTGTAATTTTAGATGTAATTTGTTCTCTAACCCTTTCATTACTTTTTCTCTTGGAAGTATATATGCTTATTTAAAGCAAGTTTTCATTCCTTGTGTTGCTGGTTTTTTTTATACTTTCTCAGTCTTTTTGTTACTTGTTTTCTGTATTCAATAATAGTTATTATAGTATAGTTGCTCTGTGGCTTCTCTCTGATGCACTTTATTATTTTGTTGTACTTTTAGGTACATATTCCACTTGTAAACAGGAATCTATCCAGAACAAGGAGACCACGCATTTTCCGCCACCGATTGGATTTTTGTTTACGCCAGAAGCAAAATGTTGTAATACGACGTAATTGGGCCGTATTTCGTTAGCTAATTGCGGGTGGTGCAATAGCTTTAGATGTGTCGTCATAACTTGGCTGTATTTCGTTTGCCTAATTGCAGATGATATAACAGTTATGGATGTGTGATAACGAAAATGACAAATAGTGTTTTTTATGTGGGACGCTTCATTACTGAGGGAAGGACTTATCCGCTGTTCTCACCCAGTTGGTGACGAACGCAGGAAGGTCTGCTTGCAAGCTTAACGTTAGCCAACTAACAAATAAAAATGTCCGAGCTATTCTGCGAATAAAAGAGAGACACACCAACATAACCTCTCATAAACTGAGCACACTGGAAGAGTCCCCAATTAAAGAGCAATGTGCACAAGGCGGACGTGATGAAACCAAATTCACAGTTCAGCACAATTAAGGTCCAAGCAATGAATACGATACGAAGCAAGGCTAGAACCACAAGAAATGTAGTGAGCACGGGCTGCAGGGCATCTCCCATCCATAGCAGCACGTTTTTCCTGTGTCTGGGAACGTATGCGAGCCCGCCTTGCTTCAGTGCGACCAGCATTGCAGATAGAGCTGTTTCGCAGGTGTTTGTACAACACGGTGTGGCATCACAAAGGATCAACTACATCCAGCGTTTTCCCTGGCGTTTCTTTCCTTGGCATCTATCGAGGTCAATGAAAACGGTAGCGAAAAGTACACTTCCAATGTTTTCATCGGACACTGGGCGCCGACGCCGGAAGCAGCTGGACGGTGGGAGAAGCTTGCTTGCTTGCTTGTTCTTTAATATGTGGCTCCCACGCACCACGGGGGTTTGGCCAGAGAACACATATACCACTTGGCCATGAAAGGAAAATTTAATTATTGTCTATGAAGAAGTTAAACATTCGTGAACAAAAAAAGGAATGCTTCTTATAAGTCCAGTGACAGTAAGCCAGTGGTGTGTGGTGTATATATTGTAACATCGCTCCTCGTGTATAGAGAAGGTTTATCGAGATCTGAGCAACAGGGTTCTTGCCAAGCGTGTCGGTTGGGCTTAATGTTGAGCCTCTTGCCTTGCTGGCATGGCCAAGAACCGGGCAGCGGGATCTTTTAGTTAGTTAGTTAGTTAGTTAGTTAGTTAGTTAGTTAGTTATGCATTTGAAATCATTACATGGAATTGCAGTATAAAGCAAAAACAAATAAAAATGTATGAAAATGCTACACGAGCTAGCGGCCAGGCATTCGGATAGTCTCGTAGCCGAAAATATTAACAATAGGCTAGCAACGTAACATTTTTGTTATCATTATCTGTGCACACACAGCAGAACAAACCTCCCTGTGGCAATAACCTAATGTAATCTCTCCACAAGATAAAATTACTGCCATGTTTATTTTTAAACCTAGCTTCTCAATTGGGTCGATCACCTATCTTTTTCTTTGATGAGAATATCTATGACAGAATAAAAAGAAATTTTATTTTTATTTTATTTATTTAGTACATACTGCGAACCATAGATGTTTCAAGTAGGAAGGGCACATCACATAAAAAAACAAGAATAACATGCGCCATACCTAATGCAATTCACTCTACTTAATTCACAATGAATGGGGATCACTTAATTTGCTCCAATCAGACACTGTCCGTGGAAAGAAAGAATACATAAAGACATCAGTTCTCGGCAAGTACGGGGTAAGCAAATTGGGATGGTGATGTCGGGCGTGCCTATTTGATAGGAAAGATACGGTGATGGATCAATGGCGAGTTTATTGTTAAGTAGCAAGAAAACGAAATCAAGCCGTTGTTTGAGTCTGCGCAAAGCAAGTGGCTGAGTGCCATTTACAGTCATTAGTGCAGAGGGTGAATCAGACGGTAAGTATTTGTTATATATAAAACGAGCTGCTTTCCTTTGAACCCGCTCAATTTTATCAATATTAAACTTATTGTAAGGATCCCATACTGTGCTGGCGTATTCTTATTTAGGCCTTACAAAATAAAAATAACTAAGAAGCTTTACATTTGGAGGGCAATTTGTGCAGTTTATGTCTTAAAAAGCCGAGTTTTCGGAGGGCAGCTGAACATACGTTGTCTATGTGGACATTCCAAGATAAATTGTTAGTCATGGTCAAGCCCAAATATTAATAGCTATTGACCTCTCTCAGGGTTGACGGCCCTAGTTGGTAGATATAGTCTAGCGGATTTTTTTTACGTGTCAGACGCATACAGACACTTTTGTCTACGTTGAGGGTTATTCCCCATTCATTACACCACTGATCTATATAGGAAAGATTTGTGTTTAGTTCGTTTTGATCATGAACAGAGTAAATATCACGAAATAAAACAATCATCGGCAAATAATCTAATTTGTGCTGTAGGTGTTATGACATTGACAATATCGATGATATAAATGAGAAAAAGCAATGGCCTCAGTGCACTTCCCTGGGGCACATCTGATGAGACATGAAGAGATGGTGAACGGTGGTCATTAGTGGCAACAAACTGTGACCAGTTAGTAAGATATTCAGCAATCCAGTTTCAAGAATATCTGGAAGGCCAATCCGCTTAAGTTTTTGAATCAGTTTATCGTGAAGTACTCTGTCAAATGCTTTACTGAAATCTAAAAAAATTGTCAGTTTGCTTATTGTTATCAAGATTTAGTGCAAATGAGTGGATTACTGTAACCAATTGCGTTACTGTTGAATATCCCTTTCTGAACCCGTGTTGAAATTGTGTCAAAATAGAATGTTGGTCTGAAAAATTTACTATTTGGGTTGCAATTATATGTTCAATTAATTTACAGCAGGATGACGTTAGAGATATAAGACGGTAATTTTGAGGAGAAAGACTGTCCCCTTTTTTGAATACGGGACTAATGCGAGCGGCCTTCCAGTCACCTGGTAGCTTTGATGACAACAATGAAACAAAAAATTTTATACAGGAATATTACGACATGTTCAGCATACCTTTTTAGAAACATATTTGGCAGATCATCTGGTCTACACGATGTCTTAGACTTAAGGTTTAAGAGCATCGCGAATACGCCAGAGTAAGACACAAAAGATGCTTCAGATGGATCGAACACTTTACCGCTTGGTACGTATGTACTAGAACCAGAAAACACACTTCGAAAATACGTATTAAAATGCTCAGCCACCGCTTTCTGGTCCGTAACAATCACGCCCTCAATTGCTATTTCGGTAACGGGTTTCTTTTTGTCGGCAATATAATTCCGGAATTTACTTGGGTCATTTTTTATAAAATTGGGCAGCAGTATCATAAAGTAGCGATCTTTGGAGGAGCGTACAGCCCATGCAAGGCTGACCTTGAGGGTTGAAAGAGTACTAGTCTGCGCTTGCTTTTTTCGTAATGGCTTTATTTTTCGCTTTAAATGAATAATATCGCACGTAATCCAAGGAGTTTGTTTGTGAACCTTCTGACGTTTATTTGGAATAATGTTGTCTATGCAATGGTGACACATTTCTTTAAATCGGTTCCACAGTGTTCTGACATCTTCAGCATCAAATACAGCAAAACACGATTCCATGTAGTCTATCACAGATACGTCATCTGCTCGTGAGTAATCTTTAGAACAACGAACCGATGATTTTTTATCGCTCGGGCATCTGGTAAAGGGAACGGATACACTAACCAAGTTGTGATCGGACAGGCCCTGTTCCACGGAAACAGTGTGCTGCTCTAGTTCATGGCTAATAAATACCAAATCAAGAATGGAACTACAGGACGCATGCACACGGGTTGGCTCTTTCACAACTTGCATCAGCTAATGAGTAAGCATGACGTGGAACAAAGCCTCCGTCTCTTTTTTGTTCAAGGGCGCCGTCGTAAAGCGATCCCAGTCAACAGAAGGAAGGTTAAAATCACCAGCTAATGAAATTTTCTGGTTGCGAAACTGGGACATATGTTAACGTTATTTTGCCATGCATTCAAACGTAGCCTCGGGCGGTCTGTATACGGCATATAAAATTAAGCTATGGCTCCAACAAGACAGTCTGATGCATACACACTCTAGTTCATCGACACTTGAGATAATTGTAGCCGGTATTGTGTCTTTCACGAGGGCGGCTATCCCACCACCCCTTTTAGCTCTGTCTTTCCTAAAAACTTTATACGAGGGTGGAAATACGTCATCGTCAGCTATTCCAGGGCGCAACCAAATTATCTATTATTTCTAT